CTTCCATCTACCCTCTCACAGTGCTCAGAAGTCCAAAATTTCTAGTACCTGCACAAACTGGAATTTATCCAACAAAGACATGGTGGCCTTTCGGAAGTTAAACAACTGGGAGCAGACAAACACCTGCACTCTGTTTTGATTAAAAAAAAAAAAGGAATACTGGCAACAAGTTGTTTTCCTTATCTCACAAAGTCACAACACACGTTAGACTGTGTGGGTGGAAGGACATCAAGGGCACAGAATCAAGAGTGCGCTTATTAGCTAGCTAGCCGTTTCAGTTATTATTGCTTATCTTTTGTCACAATTTGCTCAGGGCAAGGTTCGGCAAATAAGTGGGGAGGGGAGGGGGTCCTACAGGGAGGCTGAACAAACTAATGAGCATGCTAGCACATATTATGATTATTATCATTATTTCCTCATGAGTGGTCCGACGAGAACCAGCACGAGGTATTCAAGGACACAAGTGGCGTCTGCTGAATACGTAATATATAATTAATCACGTTTAGTTTCTCGTAATGTTCTTGATAAGCCCCATGCATTAATCACTTCACATATGCAGCTGAATATCATTTCAGTCTGCTCATGAAGAGGACTGCCCTTATTAATTAATGAATGCAGATGAAAGCCTACATGTGCTGTGAACATGGCTCCCGTTATACTGAAACTACCTTTGGCAAAGATGCGGTATCGCATTTACAGGGAGAGCTACTTATGGACACTCAGGTTTTGTCTACGAGGCCATAGAGAACAGCTCCGTAATAAATCCATCTCCACCTAATTGCATAGTAATTGCTAAAAAATGGCCGCTGCCCTGTTTGCAGTGGCTCTCGTTTCCAGGAAACGCTTCCACTTATTGGGGGGTATTACAGGGGGGGCCGCGCGTCGTGAATCAAGCCCTTCACACTTTCTCAGCCAAGAAAAAAACGTGATTTACAGACGAGGCATTCGTCTTCCGGACCGCGACCTGAAGGGCGGCTTGGTGAGGGGGAACGTTTTTTATCATTTATTTTTTAAAGGGAGGCCGGCCGCATTCTCAACATTTCTGCAGGTTACCGCCACCTCACGACGCCATCAGTCCCCACCGTCGTCACCGCCCTCTGTCATCATCATTTCATTAAGCACTGACCCTTACTGAGGCTGGACTTACAGTGCATGAACAGAGTCAGCAATTACAACTGCTTCATTTAAACCAATCAGAAGTCTATTTTGTTACAGCGTACGACTCAGGTTCAAGCAAAGACACTGCGAGCCTAACGGATGAAAAGACACTTGGATTCTTACACATATACCGGAGCACGGTGAATGCAGGGGATTAGATCAAAAGTGAAGATGTGCAAATCGCAGCCTGCCGGCGGAGAGGCTGCGGTCTAATGATACGTTCTATTTTAATTCGGGCTGCTCTGGCGGCGAGATGGGGCCGTGTCCGCGCCGCGCATGGAGGTAATAAATTACCCAGGCCGCACGCTGTGAGGTACAATTACAGGTGATCTCGGAGGCAGGAATGTTAGAGTTGACGCGAATGCCTTTGGGGTCTGGTAAGTGTTCCGGCGCTTTAATAACCCTCTGTGTTTTTTTTTTACCGGGGAAGGCTGTCATTATGTGTGGGGGATGGGCAGGGTCGGGCCTGCCTGGCTGTCAGTTAAGGTGTCCGGGCTTATCTGGTTGAGCGGTGGTGGTGTGTGAGGTTTGGTAGTATGTGAAAGGCCTTGGGGGGGAAGGTTTGGTGGGGCCTGCACTGTGAGTTTGCCAAACGCGGTACCATGGCCGTCCAAATGAGGACGCCGGTCACGAGCGGGCAGACTGTGGCAATTAGGGGCTCTCGAGTGGGGCTCGGGGAGGATAGAGGATCCGTCGCCAAGCGGGGACAGGGGGAATCTCGCATCTGTGACATGCGTGTGCTCAGCACAGAAACGCTGGCTGCGGAGATTTGCAAAAGTTATGGCAGCCCCCCCTCCCCCTACCCCCCCTCTCATCCGCCACCCTTTGAAGTGAAGTACAGGGCTGGAACGCGGCGAGATTCATTAAAGGGAGTGGAAACAGGGAAGGGAGGGGGGCGGGGAAGGAGGGGTGTGGCCACTTGCCAAATTCTTCTCTGGAGCGAGAGACCTCCCTTTCATTTTCGACTTCAGAGTTTTGATAGCTGGCCCGCGAGAAAGGCTTCCGCTCTCCAAACTGGCGACAGACGCAGCAGGCCAGACCGGATTAAAACCCAAATCCGCCCGCTGACATGACAGAAAGTGGCAGGTGTCTTCTGCTGACGCGCCTCTGTTCCTCTCACAAGTGCAAGAGCCACTATCGGCACAGGGGTTATACTTTTAATGAGCACCAAAACACGAGTTCAACCCTGACGTGAATCTGCTCGTTACAGCTTGCGTAGCATAGCAGTAAGGTTGCTGGTTCGATTGCCTGCTGGGGCACTGCTGCTGAACCCTTGGGCGAGGTACTTGACCCAGAATTGCCTCAATAAAATATCCAGCTGTATAAATGAATATCATTGTAATAGCTGTAACGGATGTAAGTCGCGAACGGCCTGGATAAAAGCGTCCGCTAAATGCCAATAATGTTAACGTTAATGTTAGCTGGGCTGCACCAATACCTCGTGTGCTGATCTGCATTTGCTGTCCTGGTTTTCAGTGCTCGTGCAGTGTTGCCGTGAGCGGCCTTGGGGCTGTTTCCTGTTGCTAGGTGTTGGGCCGCTCGCCCTGGTCTGTGCCATACCTCAGCACACCATTTCCTGCAGTGGCGTCATCACCCCCGACACCACTGAAGTGCCACTGTCCCTGTCGCAGGGAATTAGGTTGAAGAACCAAACCGAGAGCGAAAATTATCGTCCTCCGCCGAAGTGTATTCGTCTGTCCCCCTTTCCCTCTTTTTCCTCCTCTCTGCTCCGTGTCAGTTTGAATATTCACTGGGTGTGCAAACACCCGCTAGTCCAGCTGGGGAGGGGGAAGAAAAACTGAAAAGTGCTGCTTCCCCTGTGGGACAAACAGCGGTGCTAGCACAAGCAATAAATGATTTACGGATACAAATTCACGCTAATTAATGATGACGATTCACCTTGAGACTGGAGCGTCTCCCAGCTCACACGGCGACTGACATCCCACCTCTTCTGAATCATTTGAGGAAAATACAGCAGCCAGCATTTTATTTTCGCTTTAATTAGAGCCTGATCGATACTGTGACTGGCAGTGGCAGCCTGCCAGTGGCCTCCTGGGGGAGCAGGAGATTAAAAGATTTTTGTTCAAGCTCATTTCCCATCTAAATGTTCTTCGGTTAGAGCCGCGCTGCCTCCTCCTTTTCCCCCTAGTCTTTCCGCTCTCACAGCTTCCCTGGTACTTTCTAGGCGTTTTTCGTTTGCGCACTCGGTAGCCTAAATCCCGGCAAGAATCGGAGCAGATAATATGCGTAAGAATCAGACTGCAATCCACAAAAAATGGATTTTACCATGTACAAGGTGTGAGGGGCGTGTCTTTCACCTTGTACAGGGTGTGAGGGGCGTGTCTTTAATCTTGTACAGGGTGTGAGGGGCGTGTCTTTAATCTTGTGCAGGGTGACGGTGCGTGTCTTTCATCTTGTGTGGGGTGTGAGGGGCGTCTTCCTTCTTGTACAGGGTGTGAGGGGCGTGTCTTTCACCTTGTACAGGGTGAGAGGGGCGTGTCTTCACCTTGTACAGGGTGAGAGGGGAATATCTTTCACTTTGTGCAGGGTGAGAGGGGCGTGTCTTTCACCTTGTACAGGGTGAGAGGGGCGAGTCTTCACCTTGTACAGGGTGTGAGGGGCGTGTCTCACCTTGTACAGGGTGAGAGGGGAATGTCTTTCACCTTGTACAGGGTGAGAGGGGAATGTCTTTCACCTTGCACAGGATGTGAGGGGGGTGTCTTTTACCATGTGCGGTGTAGGAAGGAAGTGTCTTTCACAGAAGCAAAGGAAGTGCCTCTTTCACCTTGTGTCAAGGGGAATATCTCATCTTGCGCACCTTGAAAGGGGTGTGTCCCACTTGCAACACACAAGGGGTGTGCCTCTTACTTGGTATGGTATGTGGGGGGGGCATGTCTCTTGCTTTATACAGTGTGAAAGGGACAAACCTCTGTGAGGGGCATCATTCCCCTTCTACGGTGTGTGAGGGGGCGCGTCTCTGACCCCATGCAGTGCGTGAGGGGCACATGAGGGGCACATCACTCACCTTGTTCAGTGTCGCCAGGAAGGGCTCGAGGGGCACGGCTCCGCTCAGCAGCGGTTTGGGGGCCAGCAGCTCGGGGGGCTCCTCCACCACGCGCTTCCGCTTCTTGCTCGGGGGGGCCGGTGCGGGTTTGGGGGCGGGCTGGAGGACGAGGGGGGGGACATTTCACACCTCGTGCTCCGCTCACACACAGGCATGCAAAAAGTTAACGAGATCAATTAAAGCGATGGGGGAAAAAAAACGTTAAATGGGATTTCAGTGTCCATTAAAACCGAACTGCAGTCATTTGCGGGGGGGGTTGGGGCGGGGGGAGTCCTTGTTTAATCCTTTCGGCCCTGAAACCACACCGCCGCGATTTTTCCATTTCACAGAGTAAACATAATTACACGCGGAGCTAACGGCCGGCTTTTTATATCGCCGCTGTCCTTGTTTGTAGGAACGTCGGCGGCGACACGTTTTAGCGGCTCAAATCTGCTGATTAAAAGGCCTTTACCGGCTTGTCAGTTGTTTGGATGGATAGCGTTTTCCGTGTAGGACAAAAATGAAAATTGCTAAGTACGCACAGGGGCTCTTCTGCGGCTTTCATTATCCTGTCAGAGACACCCGTGCAAGGCTTAGCTGGAGGTTACCGGAAGGTGGGAACGTCACAATTACAAGGGAGAAAATTGAGTTTGGTTATTAATGATGCCTGTTCGTTTTCAGTCTCCTCCCCACTGAGGTTTGAATAGGCAGTCAGCATAGATTCCAATAGGCTGACCAAAAATGCCCGTACAAAAGTAATTTCAACAGCAGAACATGTCCCAAACCATACAACTATAGGGTGGCAGTACAGCACAGTGGTAAGGAGTAGGGCTCGTAACCGAAAGGTTTCCAGTTCGATTCCCTACTGGGACACTGCTGTTGTACCCTTGGGCAAGGTACTTAACCCAGAATGCTTCAGTAAATATCGAGCTGTATAAATGGGTAACGTAAAAAAAAAACTAACCAATACAAGTCGCTCTGGATAAGAGTATCTGTTAAATGCCAATAATTTTAATGTGAATGCCAATAATGGTAAATGGTAAAGTAATGTCACATGGGTGGGTTACATGGGTGCCTCTAGAAGACGCCAAGACCAGTGCCTAAGTAAACTGCTTTGCTTTTAGCTTTTAGCGCTGACTGATATGGTGTATGACTACATATTAATACTCTCCTGCACTGATGAATCATTACAGTATGAAGATACTCTGCATATGAAGGGTTAACATGTTATGTCTGGCCAATGCGCAGTGTCACAGCCTTCCTAGTAACCGCTTACTCCAGATGAAATCCTCCCTCCAGCCCCTTGGCCACGCCTCGCTCCCCCCGGCCCCGCTGCCGCCCACGCATCGACTCACCTGCAGCACGTGCTTGTTGTCCTTGGACTGCAGCACCGCGGAGACAGTTGCCACGGAGATGCCAGGTTTGATCTCGGTGGGGACGAGCGATTTCGCCAGCTGTGAAAGGAGCAGCGTGCTGTTTGCAGCTTTCAGGCGGCAGGCGACAGAGACATGTCCTCTCTACACGTCTACGAAACGGGGGAACCCTCCCTCTTTCAACCTCACTACCTGTATACCGTCATCTTTATTAAATGATACGCTGATAGGATGATGCACAACCACCAAAAAAACAGACAGAGCCATAGTGCAAGGAATGCTAATTTTTAACATGTATTGTGAAGTGGACATTCACAGGACTACGGCAATTTCCCCTTTTATCTCTATATGTAAACATTCCGCTTGTCACAAGTAAAAGTGGTATAATAATGTTATGCAAATTATTCTAATACAGGGCCCTTCTTTGCTCTGATAAATTACTGCCACCTAGTGGTCATTTGTATGCCTTGCAACTCCCCATCACCCAGACCCTGAGCCTCCCTATGGCCCCCTCTGTTCTGCCCTTATCCAGTTCACTTCTGGCCCCCTCTCTACAGCAGGGCTGCTCAGCACCTTTCTACCTCTCCCTGATGTTTACCCTCCCTGAATCCAGTACCCGCCCAATCTTTCACTCCCCAGCATCCCTCTCTCCCCGGTATACCTCCTCTCTCTTCAGTGTCCCCCCTCTCACCTCAGCATCCTCCTCTCTCCTTCCTGGTGTCCCTCTCTTTCTCCCGGTGTGCCTCCTCTCTCCTTTCCTGGTGTCCCCCTCTCTCCTCAGTGTCCCCTTCTCTACCCCCCGCTGTGTCTGCTCCTTCCCCTCCCGGTCCAGCATCCCCCTTCTCCTCGGTTTTCCCCCTCTCTCTCCACCTGGTGCGTCTCCCCTCTCTTGCCTCTCTCCCCGGGTGTCCCCCCCTCTCTCCCCCAGGTGTTCCCCTCTCTCCCCTCTCTCTCCCCAGTGTCCCCCCCTCTCCCCTGTCCCACCTCCGGCAGCAGCTGTATGCGCTCGTAGCGCCGGCGGAAGGGCAGGCCCAGCACTGAGCAGCGGCGGTAGGGCATGGGCGGCGGCTGCAGCTCCAGCATCAGGTCGGAGCGGTGCGCCTGCGAGGGGGGCGGCTGCGTGTACTGCTCCGGGCACACCACATGCAGCGGCTGCAGAGGGGGGAGACAGGGGTCAGAGGTCACACAGGAGTGAGGGGTCTGTGGTCACACAGGGGTGAGGGGTCAAAGGTCACACAGGGAGTGAGGGGTCAGTGGTCACACGGGGTGAGGGGACAGCGGTCACACAGCGAGTGTGACATAAATCAACCATGAATGACAGTTACCTGGACCTCCTTCAGAAGCTTAGACACCTGGTGGAAGTTGAGGCGGGTGTCGATGGGGCAGTACACGCACTTCATAGCCAGGGGCTGGTAGGGGGCCAGCGCGTCCAAGTATGAGAAGTCGGGCTCTGCAGAGAGGACGTGCAGACTGAGCCAAATCATTCAGAACACTCACTATGTATCACTCAAAACACCAGCGATTGCATTAAATGAATGTCAGCCAAACCCGTATCGTCAATGTCTCTTTATTAAGAGCGATAAACCCGAATGAGCCAGCTTCTCCCAACAGCCAGGGCTATATCGTTTCATCCCCATCATTCAAAACGCTAAGTGACGGATGCTAAAAGACTACTAGCCAAACCCACTTGATCAATGTCACCCTGGCGACAAACTTGCGCATCCCTTGTTATTGAGCGTGTCTGGCTCATATTGGCCCGGTGCATCTTGATACAGAGTAAAAACTACAGTCAGGTTTGCGTCGTGTCACTCTGAATCGTTCGAACCATCATTCAGTGATATCAGACGAGACCTCTTGTCACCGGCTGTGTCTCACTGATCTGGGGTCAGCGCGGCTCACCAGTGAAGATGATGGTGTTGAGGCTGGACCTGCCCCACAGCTCCATGAAGTGCACGACGTCCCCGAAGCGCAGGGAGGGGTGGCCGGTGAAGACCACGCAGGGCTGGCGGAACTCGTTGCTGAAGTCGCCGTGGATGCTGGGGTAGTGCTTCAGCTTGTTGGTCTGGATCAGCTGGGAAGAGAGAGGGAGAGAGCGGGCATCAAGATTCCGGTGGCGCCACGTCCGCTTTTAGTGCGTGACGCATCGTGGTCTGAGATGCTTCTCGAACTGCGCTCGGCCCCTTGGGAAAGCATTCTTTACGGCTTCTGGTGGTGCTAGCAGTTGCCATTCTAATGGCTGCAAACACCACCAGCTGACCAACCAAGCTCCTCCATATACTCGTCAGCTGGGCCTGGTTACGGCTACACTGTGACTGCTGACACTCACCTCAGCGTGTGGGAAGGGAGGCTCAGGAAGGTACACCTTGGACTGCTTATTCTGACAGAGCCTGGAGGGGGGAAAGAGAAGGGTCACTTTCTCTAGTGAGGAGACGCAGAATGGGACCGACACTGGCTTGGACTCAAGCCCATCTGCAGATTGGCAGAATGTGTCACATGTGCATGAGGGGTGTGAGAATTCAGACTGCAGAAATCAGCCCATTGTATGTGTCAGGCATCAAGATAGGGGTTTGAATGGGAGACGAAACCAAATTCCACAACAAAAATGGCAGGTGAGCTGACTGGAAGGTCTCTCCATCTTCACTTCAGGCGTGCAAGCGTAACAACATTATTAGACAGATTTACTATTTCAGGATTCAGTAAGATCAACAGCAGCCCAAACAGCAGAGGAATCTGAGATGTTCAGCAATGTAGTCGAGAGGAACAGGAAACACTTCAGCTTCAGCGAATCCTGAATCCTGAGGCAGTTATGGTAACAGGGAAGTAAGTCTCCCCTTAAGCTGATGATGCATGTGTTGGGATGCGGTATGTTGACCATTTCCACATAGTAAGCGTGAGAGGACAGAGGTTCGAGTGCGATGGGTGCGGCCTGGCCCCCTGCAGTGAATGCCCATCGGGGCAGTCTCTCCTCCTCTGCAGGACTCACCACTCAGCGAAGATCTGCGAGAACTCCAGGGAGCTGTTGGCGACGGGCGAGATGAAGTAGAACGGCGTGGTCCCCAGGTTGGCGGAGTCGATGAACTGGTACAGGCACTCCAGCAGGTCGTAGATCACCCCGGAGGAGTAGCAGGGCACCAGCACGTTGCCCCCGGCGCGGATCGTCATGGCTGCGAAGCGCAGAGGGGCGAAGAGAGCTGGTTTCAGCACAGAGCAGGACTGCACAACCCTGGCCTAACAGGACCAGAGTGTCTGTGGGGTTACTCAACCCTGGCCTAACAGGACCAGAGTGTCTGCAGGGTTATCCAACCATGGTCAAGGCAGGCCGCAATGTCTGCAGGGTTACTCAACTTTGGTCAGTGTCTGCAGGCACTTAACCACACGATTCAGCAAATCATCATCTTAACCACACAGTCTCAACTTCCCTCTCCTAGACATGACAGCCGGTGTTTTAAAAAAGAGGTGGAAAAGCTGCCGAAGTGAAGCCTTCTGGGAGTGGGGCTGAGTAACCGAGATGCAGAGAGAAGCGCAGAGTGCATTTAAAAGCTTTACTTTATCCGCCCACAGAAGCCATCTCCCATCCCCTCCTTCCCACACTCCACACACATACACAAAGTCTGCTGAATCGATAGGGCTCACTGGGCCACACGCACATGCATGCTAAAGTTGTGTTTGGTTTCAGTGCTGTGGGTGGCCTACCGAAAAAAGGAAGACGCTCTGGACAGAAATAGATTTGAGCACAGCTGAATGCTGAACATTAACTGTTAATGGCTTCATCATAGAATCGGTCTAAGCCTAATTCACAGAAGGCTGCTCTCCAAGACAAGGATAGGCATGTTGCTATTCCATCTCTCTCTCTGCCTCTCTCTCTCAAAACCTTTTCTGTTTGGGGGCTGCTTTGATGGGGTGGGGGCCATAGGTGTTTTGTTTGTGTTTTTTGAGTTCATCCAAATGAAGTGTGTCTGTGATGTGATGTCTCATACCCTCGACCCCCCACTGGTCTCTCCCACTAACAGCACATCCTGCATGCCACAGCAATCAATTTTGACAAGGGATTCTGCAATGAAGCATCTATAATCTACAATAACAGGCTCAGTTATAAATCCAGGGCTGCAGAAATGGTACCAGACAGCATCCTTCACCATGGAACCGACCCTTACCCTGCAGCTCTTACATCCCTAAGAGTGAGCGGTCCTGAGGCCCCTCCCCCTTACCCAGGTTACTGCAGAACTCTCCCAGCATGCCGTCGGGGTTGGCGGTGGGGATCTGCGTCAGGCCCGTGAGGATGAGGACGTCGCTGTTCTTCAGGGAGCTCTGGTCCATGGGCTGCGAGGCGATCGTTCAGAGAGTGACCCTGAGAGACTCTGCCAGCGTGCGCAACAGGACCAGGTGGCAGCACACGCACACCCACGCTGTATGAACAAACACTCACACCTGTGCTGCATTAACAGGCACACAGACACACACCTGTACTGTATCAACACACATAAAGGTGATTACTGAAGT